GTTCTACCCTCCAGATATTTCCAGGAATTTAACCTAGTTAGAAAGGTAGAGGGTCCTGTCTGTTCTGCTCCACTTTCTTATATAGACCATGTTACAGATATGTTTATTCTTAGCCTAAAATTAAATGCTTCTGTCACTGAGGGGTTAGAGGGAAAAAGAATCCCTATTTCCATAATCAACCATGAACATTTTCATGATCTAATTAGCCCCTCATAAGAAATGCAGATTCATTGGAAGGTAGCTTTACTATTTACTTGGCCCACAAAGAAACTTTACAGCAAGGCAAAATGCATATCATTTTTATTGACTGTTTTTCATGCACTGATAGTCAGGGGAGCTCTAGCAGGTGCTCTGCTATCCCAGGTTCTCTGTCACTTATTTCCTGAACCCCTGCCTCCTTGCCTGCTACCATGCCTTCTTCCAATCTACTTTCATGCTGCCAACTAAATTAGTTCCCTATAACAAGCCATACGATGTGTGTGTGTGTGTGTGTGTGTGTGTGTGTGTGTGTGTAGGTGTGGAGGGAAGGGGAGTCCTTCATTGCCTATAGAATAAAAAATCCAAACTTTGCTCTCTACTTTTATTTTCACTTCTTTCCTTCTTTCACTTTCTTTCTTCCTCCCTCCCTCCCTCCCTCCCTTCCTTCCTTCCATCCATCCATCATAATTAAGTCTAAAAGACATTAGGTCTTTTTTTTTTAAAGATTTTATTTATTTATTTGAGAGAGAGAATGAGAGATAGAAAGCACGAGAGGGAAGAGGGTCAGAGGGAGAAGCAGACTCCCTGCTGAGCAGGGAGCCCGATGCGGGACTCGATCCCGGGACTCCAGGATCATGACCTGTGCTGAAGGCAGTCGCTTAACCAACTGAGCCACCCAGGCACCCAAGACATTAGGTCTTAATAAGGGAGGGGAGATGGCAGCATCTTAGGGAAAGTCAGAGCCTGAGCAGGGTAAGGAAACCATCTCTGCAGGTGGCAGCCGCCAGAGTGGATGATTCAGTGGATGGTGTGAGCCCAGTAGGGCTGAGAGGGACACCTGCGTGAAGTCGGGGTGGGAGAGGTGGCAACAGTGAAGGAAGATTGGTTACTAACAGGAAGATAAATCAAATGAGTAATTAGCACATGTATTTAGAATAATATATATAGAATAATATATGTAGGAAGCCAGGTTTCTCACTGATGGAGAAATAAATAACAAAAATGAAAAGGTAGGAAACTAAAATAAATCCTATGGTATTCAATTCGAATTGGACATACTGGCATAAACTCATGATTTTACATATAGAAATAAATACAGTTGGTGAGGTGTGCGAACATGTATAGATAGGTAGGCAGACAGCCAAACAGGATGTACATCCATGCATATATTGTGTAGATCTGCCCACTGAGGCCTAGAAGCATCAATATTCCAGAGCTTGGCTTCTAAATATTATTCTGCACTAAAAGGAACCAGGGCTCCATGGAGAAATGACTAATTCTGGGACTTGGGATGTTTAGGTCCAAAATGAACCTGGAGTTTGGCTTTGTTGTGCCAAAAAGTAAGAAGGTGGTCAAAGAAGGATGGGGACAAGTCAAAAGGATATATGTGAAGGAGCACTCACTGGCCAAATCTCGGGCAATGTGAATGTCAAAATAAATTATGATAATAAAAGGCTGTCATCCATTGAATAAAATAGCAACCATGAGCCTGTACTAATATAAATAAATAAATGAAGAGATAAATGGAAAGAGAACAAAGGTTTTACTTACAACGGAATGTTAACTGATGACTTTGGAAGGAATGACAGAGATATAAAAATTAAATTTTGGGAATCAACACAGTAATAATTAATTTATCCAAGAAACATCGAGTACCAAAACTAGCATGAAAGTTTGATGGGGAATGGGATGTTGGCATAGTTTCAAATTGCTCCTCACAAAATACTCATTGATTAAACGGGGGAAAGGAGTAAGTCTATAGTGGAGAAACTTGGCAAAAAAATCTTAAGCCATCAAAGTTAACATCCCCATAATGGGACAAATCTAAATCACGAACCACCTGATGGGATGCAGTGGGACCACAGCATCACTTTTGTGGGTTTTCTGTCCACTTCCTTTCCCAAAAGTATATCCTGAATCAAATTATGAGGAAACAGAAAAACTCCCAATTATAAAACATTCTACAAAATAGTCAGACTTATTTTTAAAAGTGTCAGACTATTGTGATTGAATGAAACTGAGCGGTGGGGAGAATAAAGTTGAATCAATGAAACAAGTTTATCATCAAGTGTCATGTATACAAGGCTGGCTTTGTTCCAATAAAGGGCTATGAGATTTGTTATGAATGGTTTGTTATTATTTATGTGTGCTCTCATTTTCCTCTTCTCCCTAACTATATCTGTTTACTTGTTGAATTGCTTTCAAGACAGTTCTTTGAGGACCAGATCTGCATACAGAACTCTGCATTGCTGAGTTTAATAAAACAGGAAAACTAAGGTTTCTGAAAAACATTTTCTCCACTTATGATTTAATTCATCTTTAAGGTTGTTAGAAAAACTGGAAATATATTTGCATGTATTTTTAAAGACTAGAAAACTTGAAGTTTTTTTTTCTTTATATAAAATTCATTTGGTTCATAAGTAAATGGCTTTTAGAAAATTAGCATAATCCTTTCTTTTGTCCTAGTAATATCTTGTGCTCTCATGCTTTGTATTTTATTAATTTTGCACAATACTCCTGTGAAGTAGGTTGGACAGGAGTAAAGACTCTTTCAGGTACAAATGATTTAAAAAAAAAAAAATAACCCAAGACAATTTAAGCCAATAAAACAATGTTTTTGCTTAGGTAACTGAGAAGTCTAGGGATAGATCTTTCTTCCATCTATGGCTAAATCCAAAGACTCAAATGACATCAACAGGGTCCTGTGTTCTATTGTTCAGGTCTGTTTTCTTTTATATGTTGCCCTCATTCTCTCCCACTGCAGACATGTCTCCTGCAAATTGCTGGAGAAGATGCTCAATAATAGCCTTAGTTTCACATTATCCCAATACAAAGACACTAAATGCAGGAGATAGCATTCTTCACCAGCTCTAGTTGAAAAATCTTTAGAGGATGACTGTAATTATCAGCTCAACCAGGACCACTTAATGGGAGAAGGGCTCCCGGGAAAGGATGCTTAGCAGATAATGGATGTTCTCTGGAGTGGGCATATCCTCTGAACGGTCATCTACATATGGGAAAGGGAAGCACAGAAAAATGAAGTAACTTCTTCATAATCACACTACTGGTTGGTGAGAAAGGTAAACCAGAAATCCATGACTCCTCACTCACACCTCATATGCCTCTGCTCTTGCCTGTATTCCTTTGGTGTATGTATCTTTATTTTACCATTTCAAATTAAAAAAACCGGGCCCATAAGTCTTCATAAATACTATAATGTCATTCCATTACATCTATTTCTTTGTCTTCCATATATACATCAATAACTTCACATTCAAGGAACCATTTATACCTGACTTATTTGCTTCAATATTTGTGGATAACTCAGGGTTGGTAAAAGGATGTGATGATTTTCTGTAGCTTTGGTTTTGTTTTGGTTTTGCCCCCACACATTATGGGCACTTTATACCAGCATTTTAAGGTGTTTTTTTAAAAAGTCACTCTTAGCGGGGCGCCTGGGTGGCTCAGTAGTTAAAGGGTCTGCCTTCAGCTGAGGTCATGATCCCAGGGTCCTGGGATAGAACCCCACATCGGGCTCCCCGCTCAGCGGGAAGCCTGCTTCTCCCTCTCTCACTCCCCCTGCTTGTGTTCCCTCTATCGCTCTCTCTCTCTCTCTGTGTGTCAAATAAATAAATAAAATCTTTAAAAAAAAAAAGTCACTCTTAGAATACAAAATTTGAATAAACATACATTGACAGGTAATTATTCCTCTTTCCTCAATATATTCCCTAATTTTGTCATGAACATAAACGTAATAACATGATTTACTATAAAAGTGTCTCATCTTCCTATAAGCAGGCCAGTGGCTGATTTGGAGGAAAGAAAATTTGACCCAGGGCCAACCCACACAGATCCTAGTTTGGTTTTGTCCATTACTAGTTTTGTGGACGCCAGCCAATGGCTTAAAATATGAGCCTTAGTAGTATCTTCCTTGCAAAAGGGGAGTGGTATTGTGGCCTTATTTTGATACTTAGAGTGTAGGCTAAATTCTTGGAAGTAACAAACATACATGTTAGTACTTCTACATTTGTTTAAAATCTGGCTTTTCTTATGAACTCATCAAAATAAGTAGAGAAACATGTGAAACTGTTACTTTAATGGAGAGCTCTTCTTGGTAGAATTGAGTCAATTTTCTAGAAAACTCAACTCAAAATGTCTTAATTGAGAAATACAGACAAACCACACAACAGGAAGGCAAAAAAAATGTTTCTTCTAAGGTTCTCTACGTTCCCTGATACTTATTTTCTTTTTATATTTTCTTGTGCCTGTGCTGTAATGTTAGAAATTCTATTTTTGAAGCAAGGAAAAGAGAAAAGCATCTTTTCGTTCATTACAAACGTTCCCTTCGGAGATTATAGCTCCGGATCTCTCCCCGCTGCAAGGTTCTCTGCAACCCCAGCCGAGCCCCGGACGCACTCCAGAGGCGCACATCGCCACCTGCTGGGAGCGTGGGCAGAGCCAGCCAGGAGTCTGCGGCTGAGGGCCGACTTGGTGACGGACTTCGCGGCTCGGAACCTCAGAAACGCCTCAGTGCTCTCTCTGTACACACACCTACCCGCCCGGGAAGTCCAGACTTGGCTGCATCTCCAACGCCCTTAGCTTGCCGGAGCCAAGTACTGCTCCTCAATCCTACCTAAGGAAAGGGACGCTCTTGGGGCGGGATTTCCCATGGTGGGTGGAACTTCGCCCTAGAGGCGGGGCTTCGCTATGTTTAGAAGACACAATAGAGAGTTCGCTCTGTGGGCGGGGCTACGTTACGAGGGCGGGAACCCGCTCATGAGCGGAATTACGTTCGGTGGGCGGGGCTTCGTCTGGTCAGGCCCGTGCTCTGCGGATGAGACCCCGCTGGGTGGGTAGGGCTTCGCCCGGTGGGCGGAACTACGGCCTGTGGGAGGAGTTTTGATTGGCTCCTTCCCCCTCCGACCCCTCCCGAACTTCCTGAAGATCTTCTGCGTGTAGGTGGTGTCAGTCGGAGCGCGAGTTGCTGCACGAGGGTATTGAAGGTATGGGGAGAGGTTAATAAATTTTCTGGCAGACTGGCGTGTAGTTTTCGGGGCTTGGGGCTGGACTGGTGGGTCTCGTGCCAGTGAGGCCCGGAGGCTGGGCTCCGTTGCGCGCTGCCTCAGGCAACCCTAGTGGGCAGCGGGCCTGCTGGCCCAGGCCTGAAACCCCGGTGCCTTTTGGGCCTTAAGCCCTTGTCAGGGTACCAGTTTTTCGTTGTGCCTCTTGTCATCCCAATTTTCACGTTGCTGTCAGAGAATTTCAATATTGCCCCACCCCCAGGGTATTCCCGTCTCCGTGAACCTTTCTCAAGTCCACTACTCTGGTGGACTCCTCCCTCTTGTGTCCCTTTGTATGCTGCCTCTAGCAAGACTATCATGTATCTGTGTTTGTATCACATACATATGTGTATATCACTTTTTCTATGTCTATCACTTTTGTACCACTCCTGGCACATCGTAAGTTATTAATGAATACTAGATAAGTGATTGGATTTGGGTTACTATTTTAAGGATTTTAGATTATTTAATTGGGGGGATGTGATGTGTATTTTCTACTTCCTCTGTAGTAATCATGAGTTTCCTGTGTTCATGTTTGTTTGTGTAAGTAGGGGTACCATTGGTGTTTACAAGCATTGCTGTCCTTAAGTAGTTTACTGAAGCTAGATACTGAAGCAGGATTATAAATTTCAGTCGAGAGATACAAGTTGAGCAAAGGAAAGAAAGGAATATGCAGAGTGTCTTCAGAGAGCAATTAGTAGACTAGGATGGGTGTGTACAGAGAGGTGGCAGGAGATATGTTTGACATATTTATCCTAGATTTGGGGTTCCAGCATTATACCAGGACAAAGCACACTGCCCCTAATGCATTAGAAGAGTCATTCAAAGTTTTTAATATTGGGGAGGATCATCACATAGCACTAGGCATAGACTTGAATGCAGATGACTTAAGCCAGGGGTTGGCAATCTTTCTGCAAAGGGCCAGATAATAAGTATTATTTGTTAAATAAATACATATTAGGCTTTGTGGGCCACAGTTGTAGCAGGAAGGTAGCCATAGACAATACATAATCAAATGGACATAGCTGTGTTCTACCAAAACTTTACTTAGAGACGGGTGCCTGACCTAATTTCATCCGTTGGTATAGATTGCCAATCTATGGTCCAACCAAATGGACCTAGGGACTATAGGACTAATCCAGTCCTCAACTAGTCAGTACTACATTATGTTCACTTATACATGAGAAGCCATATCACATAATGTTAGCTCTGGATCTAGTCTCCCCGGCTTTGAATCCTATCATTTCTTGATTACTAACTATGTGACATTGGGCAAATTAACCTCTTTGCATCAGTTTTGTCTGTAAAATGGGGATAATAGTACCTCCCACAAAGTTATGCAGAGTAAATTAGTTAAAGCACATAAAATGTTCACATAATGCTTATACACGTACTAGAAGCTCAATAAATCTTAACTATTAATATTTTTAAAATTTTCTCATATGCATTGTTAAAGCAGGTTTGAGACATGTTTCTAAGGTAGGATTTATAGGCTTAGTGTATGTTTAGCTATAGAGCAAAGAAAATATGTAAAGTTTCAAGAGCCGTTCACATAGAGGTGATATGGAAGTTGTGAAAGTAATTAAAGGTAGGAAGTCAGGATTAAGGACTGATTTTGAAGAGGTGTATATAGGAGAGAAAGTGGGGCAAATAAAAAGGAAGAAGGAGACAGGAGTCCATCCTAAAGTATGATAGGAACCAGAATGGTATATGTAAACTAGCAGGATGGATGGTGATGGTTAACATTGTCAGATGCTGCAGAGAGCTAAGAAAGCAATTGTGTTGATAGTATCAACGAATTCAACCAGCAGAAATTAATGTGGTATTCCTATGGGCCAAGTATTGAGACAAAAGAATTAGATACATACTCTGCACTCAAACAGCAGAAAGCCTGGTAGTGACCAAAGACATGGAAATAATTTAATACATGCAGCAACTTTAAAAATAATCAGGAATAAAATGGAATTTCTTAGACTAAATTGGTAGCTTTACTTTAAAAACTTAAATTCATTTATAGTTCATAAATGTGGGCAGCTTAATTGAGCTCCTTTTCTTTTTTCCCTAGACAATGGCCAAGAACAAACTAAGAGGGCAGAAGTCCAGGAATGTATTTCATATAGCCAGCCAAAAAAACTTTAAGTCTAAAAACAAAGCAAAACCAGTTACCACTAATCTTAAGAAGGTGAGTATTAGTTAAGTATTCTGATTCTATTGTTTACAAGCAAAGCACAGTTGTAAAGCCACTGGAAAACTGAATGCTATTATTTAAAACAGTTTCTTAGCCTTTCTCACAAAGGCAAGATGATTTCAAACATTTATTTTTTTAAAAAATGAAAAAAAATTACCTCCTTTTCTTGATGTAGATGTATGAAAAGAAAAAGGCACTTCAATTGCAAATGCATGAGGCTCCAAAGAACAGTTTTTGTTTGTTTGTTTTTAAAGATTTTATCCAAAAAACAGTTTTAAGTTTTATCAGAGCATAGAAATTATCAAAAACCATGGTATGGGAAACAGTTCTTATCTCTGAACTCAAATATATTCAAGAACCTCTTAACAGAAGCAAGACATAAAATGCTGGTCAGCACCTATTCATTTTCTCCTAATTCTTATATCCTTGAAGATATTTATAACTCAAACAAAAACCTATAAAATAAGATTCTTTCTTAAAATGCAAAATTTGAAAAGAAAGGAGTTTCTCTTTTTTGTTTTTTTTTTTCAAAGTATTTGAGAAATGGGAAATTTCTTCGAGATTAAGTAGATTCTTTAAGAAAATTATTCAAGGAAATGTTTTCAAGTTTAAGTAGTAGGTGGAGTCAGCTCTCCAGGACTTAGTAATTGTCATAGTAGTCATAGAAATGTAACATTTTATCTTTCAGTTTTCATGAACTACCTAAATCAAGCCTTTTGATCAAGGATTTTTATGACTTAATAAATGCTACAAAGAAAATAAAGCCAGGTGATATGATGTGGATAGGGAGTGACAATTTTATAGAGGATTATCTTCAAAGTTGACATTGAAGCCAAAATCCAGATGATAAGGAGCAAGTAATCAAAACTTCTGTTAAGTGTTAGGAGCAGCATACTCTAGGCAGAGAATAACAAATACAAAGGCCCCAAGCTAGGGAAAAACTTGGTGTATTTGACTGACAGGAGATCATTTTGTTCGAATAGGAGTACTAGAAGCTTTATGTATGCTAATGGAAAGATCTAAGAGAGGGAAATCTGGATAGGCTGACTGGTTGGAGAAATGATCAGTTTTCTCAGAAAGTGGCCTAACTTACTAAATGGAGGTTGTAAGATTGCCAGGCACTATATAAATGGTAAATTAAAGTTTGTGGTCATGAACTTAAAGTGAAGCCAGCCAGTCAGTCATGATTTCCTCCAGCTTCAGTTTTAGGCTCAGAAAAAGCTGTCAGTTGAGTTTAACTAGGTTGCCAAGCAGGTTTGATTGAGAGAAGAGAAGGAAAGTTAAGCGAGTGTAAAGAAGTGATTGATTAATGGTCATGGAATCTGTGCTGGCTAAAGAAAGAAGTGAGGATATGAAAATGTGAAAAATTGTGACATTGGTGGGAGATGATTTCAGTAAGACTTAAGAATTGTTAATGTTAGTAAACTAAGTGAACTAGAGGAACTGGAGGTGGTGCACTTACAAGTAATGATGCAGCCAAATCCATGAGAGTGGATGCCTGAGGTAGGTAGTGAAAAGAACCCTGAAGTTGAGGACCTGAAGAGATTAAGAAACCATAGGATTAGATGTTTGTTGAAGCCCATAACTAGGCATGAGAGAGGTCAGTGAGCCGAGGTTTGGGATTCTTTATGAGGGAGCAAGTAAATGTGTTGGCAGATGACAGTAATGAGGAAAGAGAGGTATCAGAATGTTCTGATGATGCCTTAGGTACAAAGGAGCTGAGTTTTTAATGAGAAATGGTGTGAGAGCAGCAGTGAAGAACAAGAATATCACCCCACCTCTTAGATTTAAGAGAGGAGTGCTACAAGGGAAATTGTCCTCAGGAGACTGGAAGGGACTTCCGATAAAGCAGGAAGGTCAAGGAAGGATTCAGAGATGGACTGTTAGAAGGAGAGTAAGTCATTTGATCCAGGTTCCTCATTTTACAATGAGAGATGATAGTATTTTAGTGTGCCTGTACCAAATCTACATATGAGGTATGTCCACATAATTCTTATTTTTAAAAAACCAGAACCTTTGTCTAAAATTTCCCAATAAGACCATGAGAATTTTTGTGTGAATTTTCCCTACAAATGGGTAGGGTTGATGAATTTTTAGGTTTAACAAGGTTAAATTAAAGTTGGATATATTGTATTATTAATGGTTACAAGATTGTAGATTAATGCCTTTTTCTTTTTTAAAGATAAACATTGTGAATGATGAAAAAGTTAACAGAGTGAATAAAGCTTTTGTAGATATACAAAAGGAACTTGCCCATTTCTCAAAAGGCCTTTCCCTTGAACCTTTGCAGAAACAGCTGGTGAGTAGAAATCAGTTCCTTTTGTTACCGCTAATAAATTAAACTCCCAACTTTTAAAGCCAGGAAGTTGAATGTATTTTAGTATTTGGATCTCTACTATACTTGGCCTTGTAGTATATGCAGCATATTGAGTCATATTCACACTCTAAAACCTTGAGTCCAAACATGAGAATTTATTGTTTTACTTCTCAAGGTAGGACTAGAAGAAATTAAGTTAGATAATAGATTATATACAAGTCATTTTTGCTCACTGTTGTTATCTACATTTTAAAATACAATATTTTTCTCCCTTCAGATTCCTCAGCAGTGTCATGAAAACGAACCAGTTAATGTTGATGAAGCGACAAGATTAATGGCTCAGTTGTAATACACTGGAGATACAGCAGATACCCCAAAAAGACCAATAAATTAAATGTTTTATACAGTTTTATTTTTAAAAATCTTGTTAATGTACAGGCATTGGCACATTTTTAAAACAAACTACATAAACAGATCTTTCCTATAATCTAGGAAAGTGGAATGTCAGAAGTCAACAAAATGTGATAAACTTAAAGTGCTAAAACGGAAGGCACTTCACAAAATGTGTTCACTGAAACAGTTAATATATCCTACTTTACATCCTTCACTTTATAAGCGGCAGTGAATGTGTGTTTGGACTGGAGGACACGCAGAAATACGGACAGTTTTGTGGCAGTAAAACAAATACAAGACAAACAAGTGATGAGCCGTTGGCCAACTTTTTTTTGTTTTAGATGGCCGTAAGTCTACTTTAACTTTCCTCTCATAAGAGGGAAAAAAAACCAGAAGGATTCAGAATTGGAAGAAAAGCTGAAATCCCAGAATATAATTACTTGAGGGTGGAGGGGATTTGTAGGTATTAAATAACCTTTTCCCCTGAAAAAGGCCTTTGTTTTTATGGTTGAAAAGAGCCCTTTGTTTTTATGGTTGAAGTTTTGTGAAGTAAAAAAGAAAGTATTAGAGAACACTTCAGAATCAGTGAACTAAAAAGATGTTACATTCATTATTTTAAATACTTAGGTTATTAAGAAGTCTAAAATGTTACAGTTAGAGGTAGATAACAGTCCCGAGTTTCCGTGGAATCTAATAATTTAGTATCTGGACATCAAACAGATCACAAACTCCTTCATTATCATCTAAATTAAAGTTGTAGTCATCTGCTGGGGTAGGAGAAAGCCGTAAGAGAGGAAACACTGCAAGCAAAACAAATTCAGTGTTAAACACAGTTTTTACATATAGTTAATGATGTTTAACAAAATACTCTCAAATACATCTATCCAAATTAAATTACATATAAGAATATTTTACAGTATATAATAGAAAAAGTAATAAATTAATTTTGACTTGTATCTGGTGTATATTTTGAAAGATTCTCATTTAAAGATAATTCTCATTTAAAGATAATGTATGCATTGGTATGCATAGGTATAGCATGAGAAAAAGAGGCTAAAATTTTTATTGGTTGAACTTGTCACACTAAAATATGTGCTTCAGAAATATTGGTCAGGATGCCTGGGTGGCTCAGTTGGTTAAGCATCTGCCTTCGGCCCAGGTCATGATCCTAAGGTCCTAGGATCAAGCCCTTCATCCGGCTCCCTGTTCACCAGGGAGTCTGCTTCTCCCTCTCCCTTTGCCCCTCCACCCACTCATGCTCGTTCTCTTTCTTTCTCTCTCTCAAATAAATAAATAAAATATTTTTTTTTAATTGGTCAAAGAATGTCCTCTGATCTGCTAAATAAGTTACTACTTTGAAAACAAGTAGGAACTGGACTTAATAAATTTGCTGATGTTCTGTTTCTACGGAAATGTTTAATCTCAAATGGTTACTGTACCATTTGCTTATTTAACAGTTGCAACTTCCTAGGTTTGGCTATATTTGTTAGGAACCAGGACTGAATCCAAGAACTTACAGAAAGGTGAAGCCAAAAGAGTTACTATTAAAGTAATTACAAATTTTTTTTTGTATTTTTAAGAGTTTTAAAAATTATTTCAGATTAGATGGCGACTTGGCTAATGTTAGTAATAGTTCACGTACTTCACATGTGTATCTTGAAATTGGCCTTAGTAGGGCTATTTACAAAACTAGGTTTTGAGATTACCTATATATTATTTTACTCTTCCTGGCCAAATTCTTCAGATGTGAAAGGGCCAATGTGCTAACTGTAGAAATTTATTCAGTGATGGTAATAAGTATCCCCTTATGGGCTCTTTTTTCTCAAAATACAGGAAAATAAAAATTCTGAAGGATGCCTATGATTTACTGTTAAGTGGGAGATTTTTCATGAATCGTCATAGTATGTTAAGCAGTTAAAAAATATAGGTTCCACATTTAACTCATGCCATTTATAAATTCTAGAAAAGCATTACTGATATATAAAGTAGTTAGTAAAATTTTAAACTACTTACCATCAGAAGACATTAACTCATCAATGATATCTCCACTAATAGATCCTGCTGGAAACAGAAATGTGATAAAGTTTTGTTACATTTCTATTTATATATTTTAATAGTAAAAAGCAATTACATTTAAATGCAGTTTATATTTAAACAGTAATCAACAGCTAATTTAAACAGCAGCTTGATTAACAACACAGTGTTAAGGTAATTGAACTTTATGGAAAGATGTGATTTTTCACAAGCACCTACTCTGTGCTTGGCATTACTTTTAAACTTCAAAACTCAAGATGTAGATCAAAAGACTCATTATCGTTCTCCCAAAACTTACTCCTCTGTTTTACAAAGTCAGTGGTACCATAATTCTCCCAGTCACCCCACCTTAAAGCTTCAACATCACTCTCCATTCCTCCTGTTGTTGAAATTTATCTCCAGATCTCACATATCAAAGTTACTTTATTTTGCCTAAACAATATTTCTCAAATCTTTCTCTTTCCAATCCTATTATCATCCATTTTAGCTTTAATGTTCTCTCCTAGTTGTGTAACTGCAGACGTCAGATCTTCAGCCTCCATTGCCTCTTACCCTTTTGCTTCCCAAAAGCATCTTCCCTAATCGTGTTACTCCTGTGCTTACCAGTTTACAGTTCTAAGTATGCTCCTTCCCTGCTCACAAATCCTCACTGGCTTATGGGCTAAAGTCCCAACTCAGTCTGATATTCAAGGTTTTCTCTAATCTGACCCCGAATTATGCTCTCTACTATTTCCAAATATAAAACTATATACAGAAATTTTTTAATGCTTTGTGGAGAACAATGTACTAATTGTGTCTAAACTACATAAAACTTGCCTGTCTTTATACATTCCCCATTAGGTTATAATTAGATCATAAGCTTTTTAAGGAGTACACTTTCCACTGTGCAGCCCCATTCTATCCCTGAAAGTATAGAAATGGTTACAGAGGAAGGGAAGGAGGACAAAAAGCTGAAAAATTGTCCAGTTAGATTTTTATAGCCTCATTCGGAACTACTGTGAACTCCCAGAGTAGTAAGGCTCACACCACATTCCAATGAGACACATGCCAAAGGTCAAAATAAACATGGGATTGTATACAGTGTAGTTTTTAATGATATGCAATATTACATCTAGACTGGCATGACTTAAGTCTTAAGTCATTCATTCAGCAACCATTGACAGAATATCTGCCATGGGCCTTTTATTTGAATCAGTAAGTAGTTGCTAAATATCTAGCCATGTAACCATGGAAAAAAATAGAGTGCCCAAGGAAATTTTTATAATTTAGATGTAGACCCTATTCCTGATGCCCAGTTTTTAGAGTTTTAGTTATTTTCATTTCAGATTAAACAATTTAGGAAGGCAAGATTTCCAAAATTGGAGTTGAGACCTTTTTTCAGCTCTTTAAAACTAAGCTTTGCAAATAAAAAGTATAGTGATAAGGAATATGAAGAAAGGAGGCAAAAGTCACTGTATTGTATACCAGTTTGTAATTAGAACACATTTCAATCATTTATCCTAGAGTGACTAAGAAAAGAGCCTTACAAACCTCTGATTTAAAAAAAACAAAAAAACAAAAAACAAAAAAAACCCCTGACATGTAAAGAGTAAAAATGGGGGAAAATGAACAAATTTCGATTAATTCCAAACATGGAATCCTAAGGAAAACTGCAAAGTTAGGCCCATTAACTATCTTTTCCTTGGTCACTATTTATAATTCTACACAGTCTTAACCACATTATACTGTATTCAAAATTGTATGTGTCTGAATATACAATCCGATTGTATGTCTACGTTACCTAAGAAACAAATCTGTAGTAATACAATTAAAGGCAGGATCTGTTTTTAAATTTTCCTCATAATACCTATCCCAGTGCTGGTCACGCTGACCAATTCAAAAAAGCTCACCAACTTGTTTAATATGGTGTTCATATTCATATTCTTCCTTCTGACTTTTTAAAACAAAGGCTCTAGACCCACCTGATGATAAGTCTGTGGCTGGTGTCTGTTGAAGATTTTGGCTTCTTTCGGAGACATGTTGCTCAGGCAGATTCTGAGTTGCTATGTTGGATTTCTGTGGGGTCACTGGAGTGGAGGGCTGAGACGAGGGTTGTGTGAGGTCATCAGGTGGGGGGACAGGAAAAACCACAGGCTTAGACGAATTGGACTCTTTATTTATAAGCAGCACGTGGATAGGTCCTGAATGACTCTTTAGATTGATCTGGTATTTCTTTTGTCCATTCTGACCCTTTAAAGTTATTGGGTATAAACAAATGAATAAATATTAACATTTCTAACTACCTTGGAACGTTAAAAATTAAGATAAGCAAAACTACTAGGGACTCATTATTATATAGCATAGAATTATATATAGCAAAGTCAATAAATGTCTTTGACTCAATTAGAAAATGTTTTGAAAAAGGCCCAATTTAAAGCAATCTATTATTGTTGATATTTAAGTTGAACTTTTTCCTCAGGATTGTTATATCAGTTATAGATATAGCAATTTTAACTGATTTTATAAAGATTATTGACTATATATCATTACTCGTTCCTTGATATTTTCTAGTTCAAATCAAATTTAATAAAACTTGTAATCAAAATGTTAAATAATTCAGTCACTTATATAATTTTACTAAAGTCATCCAAATTCAGATATCAATACTTCCAGGTAGAAAACTTGAAAGCAGTAATTTGGAAGTGTTTACACACAATTAGCTCTTATTCAGCTAACGAGAAAACATTTGATCCTCTTAAGACAGTAGATCCATTTTAAGAAAAGTTATCGTACCATTTCTGGAATAGGTACCTCCAGCTGTGTACCAGAAGGTGCTTGAATGGCCAAAAGTGTATCACCTGGTGAAAAAAAATATTTTTAAGTTTTAGAAAATACTATGATCTTGGAATACAGTGGCAAGAGTATGGGCTCTGGAGTCAGAATGCTTGGGTTTGAATCCCAGGTTAGGTGACCTTGGGCTTTGGTTCCTAATTCTGCAAAATGGGGGCAACATAACTTACTGAATAGGCTTGTTCTGAGGATTAGCTGAGGTAATACATGTAACAGTAGATCTTAGAAGAGGGTAAATACTTAGTGTTAGCTCTGTTATTCTCATTAACAAATTCAGTTCAAGTTAATTTTGCTTTCATTCAGTCTTGTATAAAGTCTGAAATTCTTGAAACCTTTAGCCTCAAGTAACATTGTTTACTTGAGATTTTTAAATTACTTAAGTGACTAGGGATACTAGAGATTAGATATGATACTGTGAAAACTTGAGCTTAAGTGAACTTAATTTTAAAGCTAAATTCTACAGCAGACTCTGTTGAGTTGATGATTAAAAATACTTTCCCCAAACTTTCTTAGAAAGCTCAGGACAGGGGTGCCTGGGTGGCTCAGTCAGTTAAGCATCTGCCTTTGGCTCAGGTCATGATCCCAGAATGCTGGGATCAGTCCCTGCATGGGGCTCCCTGCTCAGTTGGGAGCCTGCTTCTCCCTCCCCCTCTGACCGTCCCCTGGCTCATGCTCTGGCACTCTCTCGCTCTCTCTCAAATAAATAAAATCTTAAAAAAAAAAAGAAGAAAGAAAGCTCAGGACATATGGTGGCAGAGTAAAGCAGTAAGTCCACACATATTGTCAATATAGTCTTGGAAAGTCAGATTTCACTTGGCAAGGTGCTTGGCAGATCTTTTTTTATGTGCATAATACACAAGACTGTCCGTTTAATAAGCCCTGCATAACTAAATATAAATATGTATGCAAAATTTAATTTTACTTGTGTTATAATTATGGGAACACAGCCCCCCTCCTGATATAGTTAAATACACTGTATTTTCCTTTCAAGGAGAACACATAGAGGCAGCGGATGGAATAGCGTTAGGAATAATTGTCCTGGTTATAAAATGGATTCACCTAACCCTGCCCTCATGCTTTCTTTGAGTTCATTTGTGA